TTTTATTTACTTGGGTTTTCTGTGACAAATATGTATAAAAACAAAACAAAACTAAGAAATCAGCCAAAGCCTTTTTCACGGCATTGCATGTGTATCTGTATCTTTTTAGTGGCTCTTACGGTGTTGAGTTAAACTCAGTTGTGTGGCGTTGCTGCAGGTTTTCTCTGATCAGCTGCTGCTGCAGGATGTGTTGGCCCGTTCTGACAAAGCCCTGGCTGTGGTCAAAGACCTGTTTGGAGATGCTCCACGCAGGCACACCGGTATCTGGCAACTTGTTTTGTGTGCAGATAAACAGATGCAGTGACTAGATAGAATAACTTCTTGTCCATTGCTTTATGTCATGGAGATACCTGATTGTTGAACATTGGGTGTTTCTCCCAGTATTTTCATTTTGAAGAGCCACAAATTCTCTCTGGTGGTTGCATAAGTATTGCTTCATGTCTAAATGTTTTTCCTCAGGACACCCCAGAGTGACTGTGGCTCCAAACTGTGACTCTGACTCAGAACTGCCTGTTCTTCAAAGACCAGATCGTCCAACTCATCTGTCTCTCCTCAGCCAGTCAATGATGGATCAAGAGGTGTGTGTGCCTGTTATTGAGACTGTCATTATTAGTTTCATAATACAGCATGTGCAATGTATAATCTAAAGAACAACAACTATGCTTATTAGTTTATTGTAATTCTTTTAATGATCTAAACCCTATATTTAACAGAAAACACTCCAGAGGTAACATATTGAATGCTTACACTGATTTAAAAAAAAGGGTATTTTTAAATACTACACACTGTTTTGAGTTTTTATTTGCATTTTACACAATTACAATGATTTATTTCAGGCTCTTAATGAACTGGAAGCTTCAGAGGACGACCACAGAGATGATGATGCCCGTCCTTCTACCAGTTCAGAGTATCATGTAATCCGAAGGTGCTAATCCCTGCTAACTGTTATACACTACAACAGTGACAGAGATGCTGCTGTCACTATTAGATTGCTCATAACTCTTTTATTTGCAGGGTCAATGTACAAAAAATGAAGGCGCAGCCTCGGGCTAGAGTGTCACAGCAACACAAAGGTCATCATCACATGCATCACCATGGAGACAAGGATAATAGTCCCGTGACACCCTGTACATCAAACAGGGCACCAGCTCAGACAGGTAAGATAAACAGATAATCAGAAGGTCTTAGTGCCATTAGAAGTGTGTTATATTTATTTTAGGTAGTGATCAAGAAATCATTTATTATATATCTGGCATTAGAGGTGAACATAAACACCTATCTAATGTCATTTCAGCTCTCAATGCCACCGTGGCTGTTCAGCGTGTTCGGTCCAGACAGAGTCAGTCGGAGGACGCCAGAGAGGAAACATCAGTCCTGGTTTCTCAGGTTCTTAATTCTGAACCGCCTCAGAGCAAGTCAGGTAATATCTGCAAGGGATGGATTTTCTCCAAAATGAAATACTCTGTTTGAAGATGAGACCATGTCAGAAAATCGATGTTGTTCTTCTTTTATATGCTGAACAGACTGGATCAGTAATCACACCAGCAGAGGCAGGAAGTGTGTTTCCCAGGGTTCAGAGCTGGACGGCTCCTCTGTTGCCTCTCTCAGCGGGGATCAGTCCAGTCTGGGGCTGCTGCAGGCCATGTTGGGTCAGGTGGAGTCGGATTTGGACGCACTGAGCCCTGATACAGCACCAACATCTGCACAGAGTCCCAAAAATCACAGAACACAAAGCCTTACTGGATTTTCTGTGGCCTTGGTCTCTACACTGGGACGTTTGGTGCACCTCCTTAAAAAGGTACTGCCGGATATCAAAAAAGGTTTTGTCACACAAGCTTGTGGAGATTATTATTCAAACTAAAGATAATCCATGCAGGCTTTACTCACATAAACAAAAAATAAGAGCATGGTACCATTGTCACTGCATCTTTTAGTTTATAGGATATAGGATACATTCATTTCTTATTAAATGTTTGTTTTATTTAAAAAGTCATGTCATCGATGGGGATGCAAGAAGACATGAATTCCTAGTTTTAAATCTTTAGATAGCAGCAAAGGCACATTTTAGAAATGCTTGATGTGTAAAATGTTTGTTACTATTACTGATTTAGCATCACTAATGCTGAAAGTCTCATGTAAATATGCTGAAGCACAGTTCTTATCTTTTTCAGGGGTCTTCACATTTGTAAATAAATAGAATCAGTTTTTAAATTTTAGGGCAGGTTTGCTTTGATGCAAATATTTGCAGTCTGCTATATGTGTTTAAATCACTGTCTGCCTGTAATGTGTTAGAGGGAAGATGAAGCTCAGAAGGAGGCACAGGAGAGGAGAAAACTGGAGGAGGAGCTGAAAGAGCAGCAGAGGCTCATTGATGCTCTCACTGCTGAAACCATGACTCTGAGAGAGGAGGCTACAGCCCTGCAGGTGAGACTGGGCTTAGGTTATTGTTACTCCAGCTGTGCTGATAAATCATGAGTTGGTGACGATGTGCCTCTCAGGCAGGGTTACAGCAGCGGACGGCAGAGCTGGAGCGGAAGTTGGACACAGTGGTGTTGGCAATGGGAGGGCTCGGACTGCTGAGTGAACACAGTGGCCAAACCCCACACTCTGAGGTTAAAGTTGCAGGTTTGTGCAGTCTGTCTGTGTATATTCTGTCCAGAGGAATTTGGTAAATGGTGAAAATGTTTTATATTTTGGTGAACTGTTGGTATACAGGCTGTCAGTCTGCGACGGGTGCTGAGCGAGTACCTGTTTCTTCTGCTGTCCTCCTCTCACCACCTCAACAGCGGGACCACTTTCAGCATGTTCCTGGTAACTTTCTCACTTCCAAAATTATTATCTGATTTCAAATATTCAGCACAGAAATGATTCACCTTGAGG